AGTCATCACATGTTTACTGATCAGAGAGGTGGGTTGTTGGACAGAGGATCCACCCTCTCTCTGCTGCAGGGCAGAGCCACACTCTCAGTCTTCTCAGAACAGAGTCATTTGCTCTATCTGCCATCATGCTCCACATCTTTCTTTCCACTCTTGCGATCTTTCATTTGAGTTTTGTCGAAGGCCACCTGGTAACTGGAGCTCTGAGGCAGACTGTGAAGCTCTCATCTCAGACGAGCTGCAGTGAAGGAGGCGCTGAACTGATCCGCAGGCTGGGAGATGACAGCGCAGTGCCTGTTGCCTCAGCTCCTGTTAACCAGCCTTTAAAGCCGGTGGAAGCATATAGAGGGAGGATGGATATCTCTTCATCAGGAGTTTACCTGAAGGACGTCAACTACAACGATAACGGACATTATGAATTCCTCTGCGGTGGCAACATGATTATTATCAGGCTGGATGTTTTGGTTATCTTGGATATTTCAGTGTGTGAAGGGCAAACAGTGAGACTTCCCTGCTTCTCTCAAACTCTGGGTGAACACGTGGAGTCTGTTCAGTGGGATACAAAGGAGAAGCCCGTAATAAAAGTGGAACTCTCCAGCCAAAAGGCTGAATATGCAGAAGGGTTTAAAGACCGCGCGTCTTTCTCTGACTTGGAGTCTGGGGACCTGTCGCTGATCCTGCAGCGGGTCCAGCTGGAGGATCAAGGGGACTATTTCTGCTTTGCCCAGGGAGGCTCCATGGGGAAGAGACGCCCTGCTGCATGGAGACTGGAGGTCCATCAGGAGCAATGTAACAATAAACCACCCACCACTCCACCTGTGAGTATAGAGCTCTACCATGTAGATCATCGCTCCTATCGTGTCTAATGTTAGATTTCATTCCTGATCCACAGCAAACAACACAGGGGCCACCTGGACTAAAGGAACCACATGTTATCATCGCAGTCCTGGCGGCACTGCTGCTGGTTTCTGTTGCTTTTTCCATCTGGATGGGTTGCTGCCTCTGGTCTCATAGATCCGCCTCATCAGCAGGGAAGGAAAACTGTCTACAAATGGCATGCTTGAAGAAAGAAAGCTGTACATCGATCGAAGGAGATGGACTGTAATATGTTGAATTTGTTGGTAATTGGAATTTTGTAAAGTTTCTCATGTTTAGCATAGTGGAACAGAGCCTGTATGTGGGATGTGGAAGGAGGGTGGACGGTTTGGGTTTGAGCCACTTTATTTCAGTAAGTTGGCTCCAAGAAGAACATTAAGACATACAAATATTAACAAGTGTACGGTTTGTCTCCAACAGGATGCAAAACAAATCAGAATGACTCAGTGGCCTAAGCACATTTTCCCAGCAGTGATGCAGATAAGAATGTTGAAAAGGTGCATAAAACAGGTGCAGGGCGGTGTCGGAATCTTTTTTTGCATTAAAACAGAAATACTGTGAATCCTGTTGAGCAACTTGTCTAATTATATCTGTTATATCTGTTAACGCATAGTTCATTTCAGTAATAAGTCACTTCCAATGACCTTTTCTCTCTCTCTCTCTTTTTTTGGACTGTAAGCTGGTATATGACTCGCCTGTTATTTAGGAAAAAAGGAAAAAAGTCTTAAAGTGTGGATCTCCTATCGGTTCCTTCTTAACTCGGGATATATCTGGCATCACGTGACTGTGTCTGTTTCTGTCAGGGACACATAAAGGTGTAAAAGAAAAATGCATGTTCAGAAACCTTAATGCATTAATTTGAAAATATATAATTGCAGTATCTGTCGAATATTTTGGAAAGAGCAGATACAGATATTTGCACAATATGCAGTGGACACTGTTCAGTGTGACTTTTGCAGTCACAGTGCATGGTTGGAGGTTAAGTGTAAACAGGAAGGAAACACTCTAGACTCCAAACCTCATGTACAAAAAATACATTTTAAAGCGCATCCACGGGTGTGTATCCCTTTAGACATGTAAAAAAAAAAGAAGAATTTGTTAGACCACCATACGCAAAAAAAAGTCATATTTAGTGCTTACGGTATTTGTGTTTTACATTGACTGAAAATGTCTGCATGTTGCAGCTCTTCGAAAACACGCTT